GAATGCCAAACGCGTAGAAGGGACGGACTTTCGGTCACACATTGGTTCCCGATTACTGCACGCAGGTTTAAAAAAAAGAATCTACCGGGGAGAAAGGTAGTGTGCACGGGGGGGGGGGGGCTTTGTCTCCCAGCGGCTTCAGGCGCGCCGTCACAATCAGCGCACCGCTGGGCGAACTGTCGTCGTGCGAGGAGCCTGAGAACGCTCTGGACCAAATGCGACACACAGAGCCACGCGCTTCAGAGGCTCCGTATCTCGCGTGCACACGCGCCGACGCACGAAAAGCTACGGTGAATGCTCTCGCGAGGCCGAGCAGAGCACGGGTTGATGCAGCTTAACAGCGCGCAAACACAGTGCATTGTCTGCGAATCGTCTCCATTGTAGTTATATGAATAAACACGCGGAGCAGGGAAGGCTATAGAGGTACTGCACTACAAAAGTATTAAAGGGAGGAGTTTAATACAGTAATAGTAGTAATAATTAAAATTAACTATCATATGTTCGAGAACCTAATTATAATTTAACTGCACATTTTGTTGTTCTTGAAAATTAATATCGATTTTTTTAAAGTATATTTGTCCTTGTCTTCCCAACTTGGCCCTTTCTTTGCATAAATTTCTCTTGACTTAAATGGGAAGTCTGAAAATAAGTGTGAATCGCGTTGATTTTATTGTTCCGTACTTTGTATAGACATAAACTCATGATTATTTGGGAAATAATAACTTTGATTACGAAAAGCTTATTGAACTTTTAATGACAATATAGAAGGATAGTGTTGTTTATCAACCGTCATACCCAGCAATTGATTCGGTAACTATTTAACGAAATTCGGTAAACATCACTTAAGCTAGTAGAAAACCCATAAACCAATAAGTCGACTATTTTCTACAATTCAGTCATTGTTTCAATGTTCCATGAACTTTTGCATAGAAATAATCGTTCTAGTTTCCATCTCCTTCATCATAATTTTTATTTTTACTTGAATAGCAGCTACTGATACCCAAAGTCATCAAATCTGCCGTCTGCGTTTCGTGTCGTAGTACAAATCGGATTCTCTTAAGGCAGATCTCAGAAAGATGACTTACGTATCGAAAATCATCGATCTTCCAAATACAAAATACAAAATTGATCAAGTTTATGCCAACTCGAACTACTAGGCCTAAAAAATTATACGCGGCACATGCTCAGCTGGTAAGATCAATTATGTCATTTTCATTTTCAGGTAACACCACGAGTGATTCGGAAATTGTCGATAAATTCCCGACTCACGAAGCGAGGAGGGGAATTTCCAAACACTGAGAATTCCCAAAGCACAAGTGGTATTACCTATGAAAATGACATAATTTAATAGGACTATATCACGAGTGAAATTATGTACAACGGAGTTCCAAAATGCGCCAAATACTGAAAATAACTTACAGCGTAAATTAAAATCGGAGGATATGTCGTAGTACATATGCTGCTTATTGAACATCCACCTTACGATCGATGACAGATGAGTCACAGTTTGTGATTGGCCAGAAGGTAGAAGCGGTAAGAAAAATCGGATAGAAAAAACGATAAACTTTTTGAGATACACCGCCCTTATTGGGGCATTTTGTTTGTATAGTTAATCACTATTTGTTTTAATTTCACGAGTGGAATAGTCTTCGTAATTTTAGTTTCGTCTCCCACACGCCCACGGTTTCCACTTTTTCTACCTTCCTAGCACAAAATGGCGGAGAACGCACAGACAATTTCCATCAGCTCCTATTGTCCCCGCAATACTATTGTCCCCTCACACGCAGAACGGAGGGAAGAAGGAAGGATAATGCAGTGACCCGACACAAAAGTGCTCGTTTCAAAGCCTGCAAGAGGAGCAGGGAAGACTTGTGATGTACTGCCTAGTAGGTTGCATTATTTTCATTACTTGCCCAAAAGACCAAAGAAAATAATACCTACCCTAAGAGTAGCGTTCAAAAATTGAGGTTATATTAATTATATTGATAGTTAATATTCTGCATTAAAATGTAATCTGAATTATATAATATTATGTTTTATGTTCGTGATTGGAAAGTAAGTGCAAGATTTGCAGAATTACAATTTCACTAATGCATTAGTTAACTAATAGAGAAATGCATAAACTTCAATGAATCGTAGACGTTCATGGGGTAAAATCGAATTTTTTATCGCTATAATCACGATAAGACACACATGTTTTCTTTCAACATCAATGCGTACGTGAATATTACGTGAACACACACAGTTGAATTACATACTACAAGTATTCCCCTCTTCCAATGTTTTTTGGTTGTCTTACTTACATTTGACCCAAGAATATCTAAAACATTTATTATGAAATAGACACACTAAATATCAGACGTGCTTTGGATTTTTCAGATATATTCTGAAACACAAATGGCACTACCAACAAGATTTCAAGTTGTTTTCTTTCTTTAGATTCTCATCCTCTTTGTCCAAGTAATTACGCTTCATAAAAATGATAATCATCGTAGAGAGGTTGTTCCAGAAATCAATAAGAAAAAGGCCTTCATGAAACATTATTAAGAGGTAATTTTTTGTTGTAGCCGAGCAGTTGTAACTGTAGGTCGATACCGTAGGTCAACCTGAAGATCAGAAGAAACCTATCGCTTCCAACAACGTACATAACAAACGCACTTGTTATCCACCGTGCCAAAGGTCGCATATTATCTTTACAATGAACTTTCTATAAAAGTACTCGAACAAGCGTACGCCTTGTGCTCACGTTAATAAAAATTCAGCCCTGTTTCCGATACATCCAGTTATTCACCGCCCTACACAAGCGCGCCCAGCGAGATTCTTTTGTTCCCGATCAAAGTACGCCTACGGTCGCGCAGCCAAACGATCGGCGGCGACGGCGGCACAGAGAAGGGTTGTGCAGAGAAGGAAGAGGAGGAGGAGGAAAAGGGAGAGGGCTGGCGGGCAAGCAAACAAAACAGTTGACAAGCGTCGTGTTATCGCGGAGGTGGGAGGGGAGGCTGACGGCTATTAGCCTGATAAAAGGTGCGCTGTGGAGGCGTCTGGGCAAAGGGGAGAGCGGAGGACGCGAGGCGCAGCAGAGGAAGCAGAGGGAACACGAGGGAAAGAGCAGGGCAGGAGGACAACGTGGCTGGGTGGGAGGGTTGGGGAAGGAAAACGGGGTCTGCAAAGAGGACAGGAGTGTTAGAAGGATGGCAGCAGGATGAGGAACAATAGGACGGCGCCAGCACGACGTGAGACAGCAGAACGGGGGAGGGTCGAAGGTAGGTCAACACTACGGGGGACAGCAGGACGGTGGACAGCAGGAACGGTGGAAGGCAGGACGGGTTGGACGCAGGAGGTGGACAGCAGGATAACGGTGGACAGCAGGACGGTGGACAGCAGGACGGTGACCGCGCCAGGAGAAGTTTAGACGGTGGACGGCAGGACGGTGGACTCAGCAGGACGTGGACAGCCAGACGGTGGACTAGCAGGACGGTGCACCGGCAGCAGACGAACGGGCGAGCAACAAGGACGTTGGACAGCAAGACGAGGCGGTGGACAGCAAGACGGGGGACAGCAGGACGGGGCAGCAGGACGGGGGGACAGCAGCACGGGGCGACAGCAGGACGTGAGGGGACACACGGCTGGACAGGACGGGGGACAGCAGGACGGGGCGGACAGACCAGGACGTCGGGACAGCAGGACGAGGGACAGGCAGGACGGTGGACAGCAAGTGACGGTGGACAGCAGGACGGTGGACAGCAGGACGTGGACGCATGGAGGGTGGGACAGCCAGGACGTGGACAGCAGACGGTGGACAGCAGACGGTGGACAGCAGAGACGGTGGACCAGCAAGGACGGGTGGACAGAGGACGGGGACAGCAGGAGCGGTGGACCTTAGCAGGAGGGGGACAGCAGGACGGGGGCAGCTGGAGAGCAGCAGCGGTGGACAGCAGGAGGTGTGACAGCAGGACGGTGGAAGCAGACGGTGGTGCAGCAGCGAGGGCGCTGAAGGAGACGAGGGACAGCAACACGGGAGCGCAGCGACGGGGCGACAGCGGACGGAGGGGACAGCAGGAGGGGGACAGCAGGAACGGGGACAGCAGGATGAGTAGCCGCAAAGGAGGAGAATCAGAATGAGGGCAGCGAGGGACAGGGAGGCAGACATGTCTGCAGGACGAGCAGGAGAGAGAGGGAAAGGAAGCGGAGACAGGGGGCAGCAGGAGGTCAAACGCCTACGATAACGAAAGGAAGCGGCATCAGGGCAGGGAGTGGGAGCAGGCAGAGGGCTGGGCGGGGCGGAGGGGCGGCAAGAGGAACGGAACGCGAGGGCGCCGCGGAGCGGACGCGCGAGGTGCGGCCGATTCAACAACGGAGCCACTGGCGGAGGCGGAGCGGAGGTGGGAGCGGGGCAGTGTTCCGGCAGGGCGTGGCGCCTTCCGCCCCCGCTTCCGGCACCCGTTACCCCCTTCCCCGCGCCTGACCATATGCCGCGTCGCTCCCCGGCGCTGCCTCCTTTTCACACGCAGCCCGCGCACGCATTTTCAGCGCCAAGGCCCTCGTCACGGCGCGCTCCCCGCCTCAGCCCTTCTTCCACCTCCTCGGAGGACTCGCACGCTTGGCCCGCGTCCACGCCCCGCGCGCCGCCATCCATTTGCAACTCCCGTCCTCCTCCCCGCCTCCACCATTAGCCGCTCTCGTCGGAGGCCCCGCCACTCAACCCTGCGGCTCTCCATCTTTTCTCTCGCGCCGCAACTCTTTGTCACCTTGCCTCTCCCACCCCCGCCCCTCGCGCCGCACCTCGTCCTGCACGGCGCGCCGCCACGCCCCCTTCCAGCGGGGGCCGCTGTATAGCACCCTCGACGCCGCGCCGCCGCCACTCAGTCCGTGACGTGACACGGCGCGGCGCGGAGGTGCACCGAGGGGTACCGCAAGGCTCCCGGCGCGGGCGCGGACGCGGCAGAGACTTGGAGAGGGCGCAGGAGCGGGAGGTTGACGCTGTGCTTGTTGCGGTGCAGGGTTCGGGCCCGGCGTGAGCAGCTCGCCGTCGCCGACGCCGCAGTCGCCGCCGCCGCTGGCCTCGCGCCGCCCGCACAGCCCGGACACTCCCAACCCCGCGGAGCCAGTCACGGAGGTGAGTCTGCGCGCCACCGGACTCTGGTCCGATGGTCCCCACTGCTCCGCTCTTGAGTATTTAGTATTTCCGGTCTGCTTTGGAAAAATGCAAGCGACAGGGGCACCTCATTGGGACAATTACAATTTGTTGGGATACTCACTATGAAATGAAGGGTTTCAGATATTAACAAGATATGACACACCAGACGCAGGAAGTCTCCCGTTATCAGTAAATATTATAATATTTAGTCAAAATGTGGCTTATCTCGTTACATACGAGTCTTCTTCATATTTAAGACTTCAGCTGTTTAGTGTTCAGTAACCAGATCTGCCAGACTTCAATCACAATAGAAATATTCACATTTATGAATAACGGGAGGGCTTCCTCAGCCTTAACCTATTACTGTTCCACAAGCCCGTCAATTTTAGGGAATCTACAGTAGAAAAACTACGGTAGTGACGAAGGCGATTTCGCGCCAGTAATTTCAGCCCGATGTGCCCCTTTACTTCACTTTTGCATGTAACGAGGGCGACGTTTGTCGAAATAACCAGAACTGCAAAACCACCAAAGAATAGGAATGGAAGCGACGACCGCCACAGAAACAGTTCGTTTTGAGTAATGCGGTCCGATGCATCCTGACGTCTCCACTTTCCGAAATTTACACCGAAAAAAAGATCCGTTGGAATATACCAAATCCATAATATTGTAACACGTTTTCTTGTTACAGTATCGTGGATCTGGTACACTCCAACGGTTCTTTTTTTACGGTGTTACCATAACCGAACGTACATCGATGATAACCAAAGATTCAGTGTCTGATGAAGACTATGTACGACAAGAGCTATTACAGCGTCAACAATTACTTGCCATAACGCACGCGGTCCTTTGCCGGTTGTAAAGTATACTGCTCCGGCATTCACTGGGAATACATCAGGGAAACTACGGAAACAATTGATCAAAGCAATAGACGTGTACGAATTTGCTTCCAACCAGAACCACAACGTTAAAAACAACACCTTGCAGGGATCGAACCGACAACTTCCCAATCACTGGTATTCTCAAGTCGTTAAACGTTGCCTTTACACGTGGTGTTGGTGTGGTTCGCAAACCTTTAAACATATAAGTTATTTAAATATATACAATAATGCGATTTCGCGAAAAGAGAAGATCTCGCGCGGTCCATGATTGGTTGTATGACGCATTTCTTCTTGAGGATTTGCCTGGAAGTTATCAGGGAATCCATGGATGAGAACAGTCTGATTGCGAACATGCAATTCCGGCAGGCGCCACTCACTCGTGGATAGAAAACACATCTAGTACATTTCAGGCATCTTGCCGCGATCGATCCCGCGTCTCCTCAATCAGGCTTCAAGGCGTTGTCTTTGGGCTCGCCGCTCTCGGTGTCAATGTTGTTGCTAGTGTTTAATATATACAATATGATTAAAGTGGAAGGAAAGATCGCGCGCCGTCCGGGGCCCGTTGATTAGAGTGCTCCTCCAGCATTTGCATTGAAATTACTAGGGAAAGATCGGAAACCATTGGTCAGAACAGCATGTCTATCTACGAATGCGATTCCATTAGGCGCCGCAAATCCACCCACGTTAAACACTATTCTCTTTGCCAGGATTGAACCCACGACCTCTCAATCACTAGTACACTCTAGCAGTTAGACGTGGCCTTTAGGTTCGCCGCTGCTGGTGTTGGTGTTGTTTCAAAACTTTAAATACTTAATATATTCAAATATATACAATGATACGATGTCGAAGGAAGCAAAGATCGCTCGCGGTCTATGGCCCGTTGTTTAGAACGCTACTCTAGCATTTGCATTGAAAAGTTTAGGGAAAGCACGGAAATCATTGGTCAGTCTGTCTGTCTACGGATGAGATTCTGACAGGCTCCGTAATCGCATGGATGTTAAACGCATCAAGTAAGTGTCTGGCGCCTGCTACGATGGAACCCGTGACCTCTCAGTCACATGTTTGACCGCGAAATTTGCTTCCACTCACCACTAAAGGTGCCTCCCCACTTTTCCATTTTTTTTTTCATTTATCGTCCCCTACATTTACGTAGGTAAGCATTTGATTTGATTTATTATCGTCAAAGAATAGTAAAAACTTCTAGAATTATTTTAAATGTCTAATGTATTTTGACTATAAACTCGAAATCCCAAAATTATTTTAAGTCAGTAAAATTTTTATACATGAATTAACACGTTTCACATTTATTTCATTGTTGACTGCGTACAATTTTTATAAAGCAAAATAAAACGAAAAATCTTCTCCTCCCTTTTATTATACATCGTTGAATGATGAATAACAGTACCAACAAAGGGCGATTCGCAGCATTTGAAAAAAAAACTTTTCGTACCCGAGTAACAGACAACCCTGCTCCGAGTAACAGACAACAATTTGCCTCTGTAAACTACAAATTTGATTGCTTAGTACAGAAAAACACAAACAAATCCACATCCCTGGCTCTACTTCTACCATACCTACCAACAAGAGAGATCAACAAAATGTGCGCATACTGAAGGTTCATTTATGTTCATAAGTAGAATAAGAGAGCCACCAGCATTACCTCATGAAAGCTGGACACGACATGACAGAAACATAAAACAAATGGCGGGGGAATTGACCCCGAAGATGAAGTACATAACATGTTACAGGCATATTTAAACATTTATTCGTATAACCAAAAATGCAATATTTCTGTGAATTGAAGGTTCAGAGGAAAAGCAATGACAGTCGAACATCAAAAGCGTTTGATTGATTCAAAACATAAGAGGTCCGGAGATCACCTACGCAGATGAAATGCATCACCGTCCTTCGTTTAGTGTGTACCTTATTCAGGTTATTTTCTTTACTTCTTGTTGCAGTTTTTTTATTTTCACGAGTTGCTCTAGAATCGCTCCACTGTTAGTTAAAAAAACCTTCTTTTACGGACGATTGTTTGAAGCGAAATACATTTGTTTAAATTGAATGACAAATGTAAACAGGTAATATGTTCTACTAATTTGACAGAAGCTTAATAATTTGCCAGCTTATTACGATGCCATAGTTTGTCAAACGGTCATCCATCAGACAGACATTTCAATTGGGTTGTGCATCTGTAACACCTGGGTGAGAGTTAAGAGAAGCTGGAGCTTCAAGCACCGTGACATTACGCCAGTTGTAGAAGTATTACTTTCATGGTCTCTCAAGCAAAATAAGTAATATTCCGATAATTGTTTGATTATATTACAAACAAGAATTAAGTGTAATTCGAACAAAGTTGCCGGACAGACTCAGAATCTGATAGGTTTAATATCTGAAGAGCATTTGCTTATCTGCACATGAAAAAAAAATCAAGAGAAAGAATCTGTAGAAACAAAAGATTAAGTTGCCTCTGAAAGTGATACAAAGGAATCTCTGATTTGTCGATTCCAAAATAAATGCAAAGAAACGTATTCAATACGTTTTATAATGAAAAGGTTTTTGAAAGTATACCCTTCATTGAACACAGTAATAAAATTGTTCTCAAGAGTTTCAAGAATGTTCTAAAATTCTCTTTGCATTCCACTGTAATTCATGAATTGTACATGATTGCTTGCTATCTACTCAAATGATATAATAATAACTGTATCCTTAAGCAAATGCTGCTTCGAAAGGCTGTTCGTTCAAAGTTCATTAAATTTATCAACGTCTACTCCATGCCTTATGCTGTCATTACCATTACGGCAAAATCATACACATTATGATTCCTCATGTTAATAAGCTGTTTCCCGTTCAATAATCCAGATAATTGGGTTCATTAAGCCAATCAGGCTTACGTATCTCGTCCATCTACGAATGTAAATTATAAAGTGCAGTGGTATCGAGGGACCATCTACAACCCCATACCTCGTAAATCTCTCTTGTCCTTCAATGTAAATGCCACTTCTGTGCAGAAATGGATGTTTATGAAAATGTACGCAGAGTGAAAAACTATACGTAGCCACAGAACGGGAAAATTAGTTGACTCTTATATTATATATTAATGTACAAATTCTATGAAAAACACTTGTATTGTAAATAGCGTCAATAATAGTATGTGACTAAAAACTGGTCTTCGTTAAAGTAATAACCTTTATCATTAACAAAAGAAAAGTGCAGATTGATGTTTCAGAAACTCAGAATCATTAAATTCCTGAAATCTAAATAACAAAGATAGATATAAATTATTTTGGAGAAAACTTACATTTTTACAAAACTATGTTTCTATATTTTTCAAAAGACGCAACCAGTAAAATATAATTGTGCATATCATTTGCATTAATTTGGAACACAAATTAATGAATTGGTCAAAAATTATTTTCTATTCTCTGATACAGAAGAATAAAACTCACTCAAGTAAAACATAATTAATTTCATTCAGAGATCGTGCCGCCTCCTCTATATTTCCATAAATAACGGAAAAGTCGTTGCTCCTTTGTTATCGCTGGAACATCCGACGCTAAGTGAGAAGAGGGCGCCTTTATTGGTTCATTACATTTCGAGGAATGAATATTGATTTCCCTGGAGAATCAACTACGAGCAAGATGTAAAATTAGTGGAGGGGCGTCGTTCTGTATTAACAATTCGTTAGGACAACTCGGAAATAACTCGGTTAAATTCACTTTCTCACAAAATTTTAAAATGAAAAAAATATTATTGCTGTTACATTTTAAAGAAAATAATCCCTTCCAAAATTTTTATCCTTTTCCGGGAAATCCATTACGGTTTGAACCGATCTTAAAAGTAACGCGAGTTTTCCACATTCTTAAAGGCCAGCAGAAGTGACTGACAGTCGTCATAGACATTATGGATATATTTTAAATATAAATACTGATAATAAAATTTTAAATGTTCATTTCTCAGAAACTCTATTTTTTGTCGATTATCATATGATTTCTATTCCACTCACTCACGAACATAATGTATTTTCTAAATTTCTAATTTCTAATCTAGAGTTTAAGTTGATATTATTTTTTCATTTAATGTATTATGCATTTAATGTATTTAACCAAGTTTCATAGTCGACAAGATCGTCGACACACACATAATAATCAACATCGTATCTACTACAAGATGGGAAGAACGTAGTTAATGGTAAATTACACCGAAAAATAAAATAACACTTCGAGAAGTACAATAAGAGAACAGTGCATATTTGGAAACTATTAAATTAATGCACTAAATATACTATAAAAATTGAACAGATTATCGAAAAATAAAAAATAAAAAAAATATGAATGCGCTTTATAGAAGGACCTATAAAATATTTCACGTAAACTCATTGAGTCACATTAGGAAAG